TTCGACATTAGGTATACATCAGGGATGTTTTTTCGTAGTTTTCCGTATCTTTGAAGTAAAAATATGGCAAAAATGCATTTTTAGTCACGTTGGTTTAACGTTATAACAATTTTAGTCTCAAGATTCAATTTTTTCGTCTTTTAGGAAATTTTAAATCACAAGACTGAAATTGTAACAAAATATTAAATCACATGACTAAAAAAAATGAAATGTTAGAAAGTTGAGACTAAATATTGTTGTGGCGCTAAACCAGCAAAGTTTGCCTGAAAATATATCGATAATGAAGAATATCTATATATATATATACTACTTTGTATGAAATTTTGCAGTTTGAGGATGCTTTTAACCAGCCCGATCAAGACACGAGCATACGGAAGCTAGTCGATCCAAGGCTTGGAGACGAATATCCTCTCGATTCAGTCATTAAGGTGAATAAAGAAAAAAAAATAATAAAAAAAAAAATCTTGTTTTAGGATCGAACTTGCAAACGATTGAAATTTCATTTTTATTTTGTATTCATGTTTTTTTTTTCGTCATAAGAAACGAGATGTGTTTTAACGTTGCGTAGGTTGAGCATCTTGCGAAAGCTTGCACAAATGAAAGCCCACAACAGAGACCAAGCATGAGATCAATTGTAGTAGCACTAATGACATTATCATCTTCAACCGGAGATTGAGATATCGGCGCATTATATGATAATCGAGGCTTGGTTCAACTAATGTCCGGTCGATAGCTCTGTTTATTTTATTTTCTTATTTTTTTTTTTTCGTTCTTTAGGAAAAAAACCACATGCAATTTACGGTGAACACCTTTGTATAGGATAATGTCGTTATTGTATAAACCCGAATTTATTCGATGTATAAGATCAATCGAATCTTACAATTTAGACAATAAAAGATTTAAGCTGTAAAGTGGATTTTTTTTGGAAAATTTGTCACGGGGATTTTGACGGTCAAATCACACACACATAATAATACTCCATCCGTTTCAAATTATAAGTCGTTTTGACTTTTTTATTCATCCGTTTTGCTATATATTTAGACATATTATTATCTATATACATAGCAAAGTGGATGTGTCGAAAAAGTCAAAGCGACTTATAATTTGAAACGGAGGGAGTATTATTTTTAAAGTATCTTATTTTAGTGCAAAAGTATGTAAGCTTATTCTAATCACAATAATTAAGTGAACCATTAAAGCTAAGTAGAACACATTTATTTCAAGTAAAAAGACTTGTGAAATGAAGTAGCTTTTTAACTGCTTTTTTCATATTCAATGTTTCCCTTAAAAATTAGACTGAAGTTAAGGAACAAATTAACATCACTTGACTTTTATTTACACGTGGATTTTTGCTTAAGGTACATGCAATATTTCCACATTTTGCACCATGAAACTGAAAAAAGACACCATAAAAATTAAGGGAAATGCTACGATCCCATTACGAACCATTCTGTTAGAATTTATAACCGTTAGGGATAGTTGATATAACGGTTACAAATCTCGACGAAATGATTCCGTAATGGGACCGTAGCATCTCCCAAAAATTAATCTTACATAAAATTAAATATGGATGTAAACTAGTAGTGATGTCCACATGCATAATCTTATCTTATAATAAAAAAATAATGATATTGTTAGGCTATTTAATAACTATGAAAATGAGTTTTTTCAACATATTTGACATGCTTTCATCTTATAATCTGGTGATAAATAATAATAATAATAATAATAATAATAATAATAATAATAATAATAATAATAATAATAATAATAATAATAATAATATTGTTAGGCTGTTTAATGGTTATAAAATCATAAATTTTGAATGGATTTTACATGTTTTCATACTCAGATATATAATACTTAAAAATAATATAAAAAAAGTATGATACTGGAATAGTAATATAAATAAAAAGTATGATATTTGGAATAGTAATAGTAATATAAATAAAAGTATGATATTTGTTAAGAAAGTATAATTGTTGTCTGACCATCAGACAGTCTAGCAATGTAATATAAAAAAAAAAAAATCATGGGGCAATGTAGAATTATTAAACGGATCGATATGTCATTCGTTAAATATATATATATATATATATATTGTGAAATGTATACATTATTTATCATTTTTTTTATTTATAATATTTTCATATAAAATCATATTTGGAATATAAACTTTAATTTTCTTACCTTTTTATTTTTACATGATTACTTAAACGTGTCAAATATGAATATTTAACAATTACTAAATAAGTATCCAACTTATTCCATTTTTAAAGCATACTTGTTGAGTGTTGCATCATCTTATTCAATTTTTGTATACAGAAAATTAAAACATAATTGGTTTATAGGTCTAATTCTATTGGAAACATTTGTAAGTGCTTTGAACTTGAAATAAATCTGATTTTGTTTCAATGAGAATATATTTGCAATTCATAGCTTAATTAATACATTTATTTGTGATCTCAATTTATTTCAACATAGTGATATCATGTAAATATAATAATCTCCGTGACTTGGGATTTAATAAGAAATAAAATCAAAACTATACCATAAACAATAAACCGAGATACTCTTTTAATAAATAGCGTATGGGAAAAATTTTAATTTTGGCCCGTTTAGTTGTCTGAGGTTCTTTTTTAATATACTAATTTTCTTTTTATCAATAATAGTACGTTATGTTGCAATTGTAACATTTTCGGGACATTACTCATAAAAAACAGTACGTTATGTTGAAATTTATATCATTTTTAGGACATTAATCCCAAAAAATAATGAATCAATTTTACGATAATGTCTCAACAGTGATACAAATTGCAACATAACGTACTATTATTGATGAGGAGAAAATTAGTGTACCAAAAAACAACTTTAGATAAGTGAACATACCAAATTGCATCTTTGCCAATACGTATATGTTTATAAGAAAAACAAAAATGTTAAAATATAATATGAATAAAAATATGATGTTTTATGATACAAATATTTTTTTTTCAAATAATTTAATGAGTCTTTTTTGTTTTTTTTACGAAACGATAGAGAATAGTTTAATGAGTCTATTCGCTTAAACAATTAGACTAATTCACTTAAAATAAATTACCCCACGCTCTAGGGAAGCGCGTGAAGTCCATCCTCAACTGAGAAAATGAAAGAGCCGTTAGAATATTGAACGCCACGTGGGTCCCACACTTACGACATTTAAGTGTCAGATCACTTTGTAATATAAGATTCTTAAATCTTAATTATATCAATTAAAAAAAAGGATTAATTAACATAATTAACCTATAAAAGCACAAAACGTTACCTACGAATCAAAGAGACAGATTAATATAGCCAACTACATGTGTGAATGCAGAAAATCCTTGTTGGGAAACTCACCATTACTGTCAATTGTACGACTCAAGTCGACCAACGAATTAATCAGGGTAATAGAGATTAATAAAAGGCAAATTAGTGCTTATTTTTTATAATTTTGTATTGCGTTCCTGAAGAGCATATAAAGGGCTGCTGCTATTTTTTCTTCCCGAATCTTCAAGAAAATCTCATTTTTCATGGTATGTTTCTTTGCCCATGTGAAATACTGTTTTTTTTTTT